AGTAAACCCAGACAAAACACAAGCAATCGTCTTCTACAATAAAAACAAGATCATAACACAACACATCATGATTGAAGGAAAAAGTATACCATGGACAAACACGGTAAAATACCTAGGCCTTATCCTTGATTCTGGAATCACATGGGCACCGGCCACCCAAAAACGCGCAAATCTAGCATACCCAGCACTCAGCAGACTATATCCACTAATCTCAAGAAATAATAAATTAAAAACAGAAATTAAGTTAAATTTATATAAAATATGTATCAGACCTATCATCACATACGGACACCAAATATGGGCGGCTGCTGCAAAAACCCATATTAACAAAATACAAAAAATACAGAACAAGTTCTTAAGAATCCTAAATAAACCATACGACACACCAATAAAGACACTGCATCAAATCGCCAACATCCTCCTTATAGAAGAATACATTCTCACATCAGTGACAAAAGCATATCAACCCAATCATGAAAACCCACTAATCAAAACCATAGGGGACTATCCTATAAATAGACAGTATCCCCCTAAAAATAAGGACAAAACTCCCGAAACATGCAATGCTCAAATATTCAAACACACAAACCCAAGAACCGTCACTCCAAGACACAGAAGCTTTTTGAAAATTTTATCCTGCAAAAAAAGACTAAAATCAGCCCTACTAGACAACACTAAGCTCAAACACCTGACTCATTTATGTTAAATGCAGGTTTTAGGGACCCACAAATCCCAGGGGACTGCAACATCAACACATAAGGAAAGAATTAAGAAAAAAAAAAGTCTGCTTCAGTCAGCATTCGAAAGAATTACACGCTCTATCCACTTGGCAACAGTTATCATTGATATTTTCATTGTCTTTCTTTGTTATTTGTTATTTGTTTGACATGTTCGCGCAACAAGCAAACGAATCTTCAGCCTTTTCTCTTGTGGAAGATTATCACAACGATGTTGAATAAATATTATATTGTTATAAACCACAATGCTGTTATGTATCATATTTTCTTATATATATATATATATCTAAAATGCGAACATTAGATACAATACGCACGTATACCGATGAATGTTCAACTGTCAGCGTATTGGTGTAATGTTCGTCAGGATCTCGAGTCTCGAGCGACCGTGAATGCATCTGATTCGTGGAATATCCGTGTGAGTCAGAAATGACCCCGAATAGGACAGCGTGCTTCAGTACTCGTAGGGTTAATTGTTTTAGTGAATAGTTATTATCTGTTTTTTCTAAGGAGTTCACGGAAGGATTCAATAATTTGAGTTTCGACATGAATAGGAGGAGGTTTTGGTGTTATTGCCTTTGGCATAGCGACATCCATGGGCTTTGTCGTTTATGTCGGTTTCCTACGATAATACACTAAATACTGGAAAGGAATACATCGATCTACCATTTGTTCTGTTGTATATCTGGGTTGTCCTGGGTGTCCTATATGGTATTATTTTACGTTTTTTGTTAATGTTAATCTCCCGCCTGTCCCTCGAATGTATAACATCATCCGTTTTATCGTTTTATACACCATTTTTACTCATGGTACATTGGCCATTGTTTAATTTTAAACAGCATTTTGTCTGTTTCTGCCATTTGTCATAATGAACTTGCCGGCAGCACAATGAGCTTTGTCCGTTAAGGTCCGTTCAGATCCGTTCAGGTCGGTTGCTTAAACGAGACTGGCCTCAACAGATAGAAAACTTGAACATTTCAATAAAGATAAATCAAAAATATCTTGACTCGAAATTCGATAAACATGAATACTGGATGAATGGAAGATCTAACAATACCGTTTTCTATAACGAATCAACTAACGCTAAATATTCGTATTGTTCGCATACTAAGACAGCGATCTTAGAACGAGCATTGATGAATACAATTTGTTGAATGAATCTCTGAACTCCGACTGGATATGAAATTATTTTTCTATTATGAAATTTTTTTATTTTGCTATTAATACATTGAAGCTGTTGTATAATAATTTCAACATAATTCTTTTCTAAATTTATGATTTCAAATATTTTATATTTTTTGCTTAAATATGCGCTCGAAGGTACAAGAAACATGTGCTCTAGAAACATTATTAATTAAATATAAAAATTATCGAACAACTTTAAAAATTGAGCTCTTACAACAGATTAAAATGTTAGTGTGCAAACAAAGAAGAAATGATTCAGAGAAAAGGAAATGAAGAAAAGATACATGTTCGACAAGTAAAAAGTAATAATTTGATTTGACTCGATAGTTCTTTGCGGATAAACTAAGAGAATTCGACATCTTTATGAAAGGAAAAAATTATTGGAAATATCGATTTCTATATTCAAAATTTACTGAAATTAAAGGCAGGAAGTAATTTATCACTTCATAAATTTCCAGAAACCCGTCACTTCAGATTGGGTTAAAATAGCTTGGAAATAGCTTGATTTTGTATGGCGTTAAGTTTGTTATGATATTGGGTAGTGTTTGGACGCCTTTTATATTATATAAAATCGATACATATATTAGATTGCTTCTTATGATATAAAAGGCGTAATGTGAAAATGCAAGTTTAGGGTTATTTAATAGCAAAGTAAGAAAAAAGAAATAAGGAAAGGAAAAATTGCGACAGATAATAATGAATCTGATGTATCCATGTCAGACGATTGATATTTTTCCTTCATTTGAGCACAGAATTTAAGAAAAGATATTTAGCATCTTACAAATAAAGTGAGGAAGACAATTAATCAACTGTACACTTTTTTGTAAGAGAGTTGTTGAGTAGCGACTCATCATTTTTTGGAGATATTTTCTCCTCATAATGAAAAAAATAGCACGTAGTGAAAGAACATTTGACCCTGTATCTCATTTAGGTCAATTCTGCAGCCCATTGTTTATACAGATGTACATCCATCTGGAGATGTAGGATCACCTCTCAAAGCCATAATAAATAATTCATTAAGGAAGGTCCTGTACTTAAATTAACCTTTACAAGTATAATTTTTGACAACTCAAATGCTAATACACAAAAATTTGGCGGAAAATGTTTAGAAATAAAAATAAGGCAATTATTTGGAATAAATAGAATGAGAATGATCTCTTTAAGAGAACTTCATTCAAACACAACCTGTTTATATATGTAGTTTATTATATTTTTATGTATATCTACATTGATTTGAGTTGGATGCCCTGCTGACGAAGGCCGTCAGTCAGAAATACCATAATTTGAAAATCATTTAAAAAAGTTAATGACTGTTAGTGAAAGGGATGTTTCATAGGATCCACATATGAAGAGCTTTTGTTAAAGTACCAAGATCCGAGGAGACTTTCTTTGAAATACATGTTTTTCAAATACAAATCTAGGTGACAGTGGAATGCATATAAGCTTATGGACATTAATATGTTATAAACTTGAAAGCAAGTACTATCAGAAACTTCGACTATTTGTAGACTATATGCATCATAAATTTATCTTTGTTTCTTGCATTCTAATTACTATCGTGCGAACTTTAGTCTTAGGTACAAGCAGCTGAGCTTCAGACTTATAATAATATAATCAAAAATCAACGTTGCACTATTTACTGCTGAAACGATGGATTAATATTTTTATACATTTGATCAATTTAATGCATTTAATATATTTATAAAATATAAATTTATATAAAATTTGCAGTTTCGCTGAATATCTTTTTGTTGAATAAGTTGATCGAATTTATCTATCATTATATATTTCAACGCGACTTTATTTGCTCTTCTTGAAGCGAAAGGCGAATAATTATGTTATATTCTTTGTTGTCATTTTGATATTGAAACATTTGGATAATTTAGATTATTAACAAACAGCATGAAAGTTATATGTTTAGTAGATAATGAAAGGAAACTGTATGATTTACTATACGTGTTTCTAATTGTAGACCAAACACTCTAACACGTAAAGTTAATTTGAAATCTGTTAAATAATATATATATTAATATGAATATCACATTGAAATTCAATATTATATATATGAATATAACTGAAAATGATTGTTGTGAATGGTTTGAGTTTGGCTTGGATTTCATAAAATATACAAACGTACAGATCCCTCTTTGCCATTCATTGCATTTCCTTTTTTATTCTGGAAAATGTGTTCTGTTACATTCTAGTTAGAAACTCACTCAAATACGAAGTTAAATTAATATTAATTGATATCATTAGATATTCAAAGCCACAGAAATTTTGTGCTTTATACTGCACAATTTTCCACTTTCGTCACATTTCATCATAAATCCTTATCTCAAAAAGTATGTGTAATAATAAGAAGTATGTGTAATAATAAGAAGTGGAATAATTTTTCCTTCCTAACATATTACAAGTTGTTGTAATTATCTTTACGACGTCACTTCTTTCCAGAGTTTCAGGATTATTTTAATGTACTAAATGAATTTACACGTATTCAAGATCATATACGTTTGTTCATTTATGTAAAAGAGTCTGATAGAAATTAATCAGATTTTAATGAAATGTTCATAAAATAATTTGAATTTAGAACAAAACACAGTAGAATTAAATTTAGAACCCTAACAACACGTGGTACACCGTAGCAAGAGATCCATTCTGCATTCACTTCACCAGCATGTACGAAAACGAAGTAGTGAAAACTCCGTTCTATTTTTCGAACATTCTCCGAGATTATCACTATAAATGAAGTGTTGTAGGAACGAGTTGAAACCGTAAGTTTTATATTAATACAATTAAAAATCTATAAAATAAGACAAAGTATTTAAAATTTTCACATTAGTGTTCTCATATCCATAAAATTTATTTCGTTCGTTCGTATTAAAATATAAACTCCAGAAATCTGCAGCTTTAATGTCATTATTGGGGAATGTAATTATATTATAACGCAGCTTCACTTATTACAAGCACCAGATCCTTTCATTAATATTTATTACAATATTAATAATTTCACTTTAGACGAGGACAAATAAATTATATTTGTAATTTAAATATTACTCTACATCATACATAGTTTATTTTTATATTAGAGGATTACATTATTTATTATTTTAACATTTATCTTATTATTACAGCGCATAAATTGGGATGGCTAATTTCCAACAACTGAACTACCATTAACTCATGTCCATCAGGCCAAATCATTCAGATCCAACATTGCCAGACAACCAGTCCTCCTTAATCATATCACTAGCTTTCTCCGCGATCATAATAGTAGGCGCATTCGTATTTCCCCTAACAATTTTTGGCATAATCGAGGCATCTACAACTCTCAAACCATCGATTCCATAAACCTTCAGTCTCTCATCTACCACAGCCTCAGGGTCCGATTTTGGTCCCATCTTGCAAGTTCCAACCGGATGATCAATAGTGTCTGTATATTCCATGATCACGCATTTCCAATAATCCCTCTCACCAAATTCGAACTCTTCACAACCAGGTAAAGGTTTATCAATCAATCTAAAGTCGTATTTTTTGAACGACTTTGTATCAAACAGTTTTAAAGCTATTTCCACACCTTCCGTTAACACGTCCAAATCTGGATTACTGGTAAAAAACCTGGGATTAATTAAGGGTGCTCCCCACAGAGGATCACCGTTCAGTAATATAAATCCCCTGCTTTTAGGCGACAACAAAATTGGTACAATGTTAACAGCATTATAGTAAGAGATTGGTTTGGCATATGAGTCAAAAGCTTCTGCTGGATCATTTAGAAAATCTTCTTTACTGGAACCACGGAATAAAAATTGTATATCTGGTACTCCTTTTTCATTCTGATAAGATGTTTGTGTGAAAACACAGGAGACAAGAGTACCAGTTGCAGATAAAGGTCCCCTGTGTGTCTCGTTATAATAGGAAATGTCTTCGAACATTCTGGAAATATTCTCATACGTGGAGGTAAAATTTATTCCAATTACAAGACCAGTCGTCATTACATGATCCTGAAGGTTCCTTCCAATTGATAAGTTACTAATTACTTGAATACCGTATTTCTCTAATTCTTCTGTTGGACCAATTCCCGAGAGCATAAGGATTTTTGGAGAATTAATGGATCCAGCTGAGAGAATCACCTCATTTTTGGCAATAACTGTGTTGAATTTAGTTCGGTTGTTTCCTGAAATATATTCGACGCCTGTTACACGTTTTTCTTTGCTGTCTACAAACAATTTTGTAACGTATGATTCAGTTTTAATCGTTAGATTTTTGCGTCTGCATTTGATGGGTTGTATGAACGCGCTGTTAGTGCTTTGACGTGTTCCATTAGCGGAGGTTGTTTGTAGAATCGCCACACCTAATTGGTTAATTGCGTTGATATCTACGACTTCGTAACCAAGTTCTTGCCATGCATTCAGCAAGATATCGTTGTTGATGTCGATGTACGGAAATCTTTCTACCGATTGGTAACCACCTTGGCTATGGTAACGTGGATTTTCTTTCACTACCTAGAGAAAATGAAAGTTTTACTTAGATGTCTCTTGGTACTGAATGATATAGGTTTAAAATTTGACACCTCTGGATCCAAATTATTTTCCGATTTCAGAAAGTATGGTAGAACTTCTTCGTAACTCCATCCATTATTTCCTGCTTCTGCCCAATCGTCGTAGTCTCTTGAGTTTCCACGAACGTACATCATCATATTGATACTACTGGAACCACCCATCACCTGTAGGTGTGATAATGAACTTTAGAAGGCCCAAGTATCAAATACATTAGCACTAAAACTATATATTTTTTAATTTATCGATTACAGAAGTGTCACTATTTCTGAGTTCTATATACATAGATTCCTAGATATGTTGCAAATTTCACAAGTATATCTATAAAAGCTGTGTTGTATCTACTATATTAGTCTCGTGTTATATTACTATATAATATAACTGTGTAGTACGATATTTTATAGTGTAATAAAGTATAATACACTAATCTTATATTAAATATATTTGGAATCATCACGCATAAGTATAGAAATATAATATATACGGTCTATATCTTTTAAGTGGGAACACTTGAATATTTTTTCGAATAGTGATGATGCAAAAAATATTTTTTGCCTAACACGAATGGTACTTGTGGTTAAATTAAGTTCTCCTTTTAAAGAATGATTAGTCACTCTCGTATTACTAAAAATCCCGCTGCGAAGAATGCATGCGCAGACGAATGTCCCATGAANGATCCTGGTGGATAACTACGGTAGTTGAAACTTTTAATATTTTCTTTTCCTTTTATTATACGTGTTTGTATTTATGTAGATGGATCACGTGCGTGTGCGTGCGCGCGCGTTTGTGTGTGTGTCATATTAAGAAAGGCTGCTGTGTACGATTATTTCCGTGGGTCACGAAAATGCACTTATACTATAATCAATAACATAAGAACAACTGGGAATTTTTACCATTACGTTTGGTTCTCGACAACAATTCAATTTCCCGTATATATTTCTAGAAATATATATCAATGTATCTAAAATATATGTATACATACTTTACCCCTTGGGGTCACACACTCTCTCTTCTCCTTGGCTAGACATCCGTACTGCTGCGGTTGTGTGTGATACATCCAATCGATATTGCTTCCAGATAACGTAGAGACGAAACCCGGAATTCTTGCTACCTCTGGTTCTTCTATGCCAGCTTCAATTAGTAATATCTGAAGATAATAATGAAATTTCAGGGGATTGTCATAAACTATCAATGTGTAAATTTTGATATTGGCTCCAAACATTTGGATGCTGAAACGGAATTATCATTTATTCGTGAATGGGGTTCATTCACCATCTGGTTATCAGTAGATGAAAAATCCTGATAACGCATATATATGTGTTTCAAATCAAGATCAGACTAACCAGAATTGACCTGCAATCTCATTTAGTCGATTCAATAGAAATTTCAGATAATAATGTGTACTGTGAATCAAAATTTACCTATAGCGTGTCATACTAGAAAGTCGTTTTTCGGATTACCCAACGTCGAAGATGATGAAATATTGTCAACAATCCCGAATACAAATTTATATGAATATAAGTATCCTCTAAATGTATTCTAAATATTCCCACTAAGATTGTAATCTGTATAAATATACCATGCTACATCTAGTTTTCATTTTCTTCGGCTTGTAGCGTTTAGCAGCTTTGTTGCCAAACAAAGTAATAAGAGTCTATGACTCATGAGCTGGTTGAACGATTGAAACATTAAGCCAAAGTTAGTTTCTTTCGTGCGGAAGACGACATTATAAGTTCTAGATAGAAAAGAAACAATGTAAGCAGATCGTCCTCGAAGAGATTGCCAATGCGC